GGGGGAGCAGCAAGGAAAAGGTTTCCTTTCCCAATCTGAAATGAGGGCCACAAAACCACTAGCTAACCAGGTCTAGAATTTCTTGCAGACACTGATTTATTTGCATCCATTATTAGCCCCCTTTTCATTAAAGGTATTTTTGCAACTATTGGATCCCCATTGCGTGGGGCTGTCAGGTTGCCAAATATGACATCAAGAGGGTACAACAGATGTGATGGAATGTGAGGGTGGCCTCGGAAGAGGGGGGAAGAGATGCCGCCCAGGGAATGATCAGATAAAAGAGAAAGGAGTCTGCAACAGGGTAGTGGTCAAAGAAAGAAACTTAGGAAGGACCCGCCCTAACTATTCAGGCGGTAAATAGGGTGGGCGTGAGATTTGCGCTTTCGGACTTGGCAGATTCTGTTAAGGTAGCCTTACAATAAAGCAGAATTAGCTCCTCTAGCCTGACAATAGGCTTCCTGTCTGAACAATCACCTCTAGTTCCAGGTCTGGATGGAAACCCACAATGGTCATCTCAGACAATGGCTCACAAGCTCCTCTGTGCTCCACCAAGACAGCAGAGGCACACCAAGAAAGGGAGAATCCCTCAGGCACCCGTTGGAAGACAATTCCCTATTCCTTGACTAGATTAAAAATCAGATAATAATACAGGGGCATAAGCAGCCAATCTTATTTTAGAGAGTTATGACAGAGATGTTTAAAAAGATGAAATGCCCTGGGGGAAATCACTGCAGTCAATTTCTGGGACTGATATGCTGCAATTAAATTCTGAGTAATTAAATCAAACAGATGAAATGAATCAGTTATATAACCGTTCATCTGAACCAGCCATTCAGGCAGCTTCATTCTTTTCCTTGTTAAAGGCATGACAGCAGGATCTATTGATATACACTATCTGGGCGTAACATAAAAATTACTGAATGGGGTGAAGAGAATCGATGACTCTGCCCAACTAGGACTGCCACAAATCAATGGCAGAGGACCAGCTTTGCATGCAGAAGAATGTAGTTATTTATTTATTTATTTATTTAAACAATTTATATTGCTGCCCATCTTAACAGCAGTGACTCCAGATGAGGCACAGAGGATTAAAACATAACACAACCAAGAGAACTTTAA